GGGAAAACAGAGAGATAAAGAGAAGAGGGCCAAGGCTGAAGCCCTGAGAAACCTCAATATTTGAGGTTGGTCTGAGGAAGAGAAGCCTAGGAAAGAGATTAACAAGGACAAGTGAGAAAAATGGGATTGGGGGAGACAGGAAAGATGGGTGTTGGAGAAGGTAAAGAAGGAGACAGTTTTGATAAGAGGAGAGTGGTTAATAATATAAAATTTGGGGAAAGATTATGTAAAATAAAAACTGAAAAGTGTACAGTGGGAGTAACATGAGGGATCATTGGTGACCTTTATGACAGTAGTTTATATGAGTGAAGGAGACAGAAGTCAACCTGAGTGTCTTTGAGAATACATGGCATTTAAGAAGAAAGAGATGGCAACCATACAGAACTTTTCAAAAGCCTTCTGTGGAAAGAAATCAAAGAGATGCAGTGATAGTTAAAAGGTATATAGGTTTCAAAGAGGGAGTGGGTTGAGCAGGTTTCAATGCCAGTAGGAAGAATCAATGGAAAGAAAGTTGCTGAAGATAAAGAAGATGATACTGGAAATGATTTCAATTTTTAAAAATTTGTTTAGACTTGATGTGTGACCTATATGTGATCTATCCTAGAGAATGTTCCATGTGCTGATGAGAAGAGTGTATTTTCTATAATTGTTGGATGAAATGTTCTGTAGATGACTGTCAAGTCCAATTGTTTTAAAGTTAGTTTAAATCCTGTATTTCTCTTATGGTTTGNCTCCAAGCAACTTAATGTGCAGTTAACCCCAGTACTATCTTGAACACATATAAAATCCCCATTTACAGGTGTGAATGGAACTTCACAAGGAGAACCTGTGTAAAAAGTGGTATTATTCATATACAGTGGCAGGGGAAGTATAAATTCCACGAGTTTAAGCTGAATTTTGAAAAGGACTCTCATCTACCACTATTCCTAGAAAAACTTTCAACATAAGTCCTTAGTGTGAGGGGCAGCGTCTACTTTTTAGTTCCTAGATGGGCATATGCTGAAGAGCTGTACGTATGTGTAATTCGAAGTTGTGTGTATTTCATAAAAAGCTAAAAGTATCATAAAAATGAAAACTGGATAACATTATATGGCAAGTACTATCGGAATAACATGTATCAAACGTCAACTAGATTTCTGGGGTTTATGAAGAGAATACCTTTGATGACAATGTGGATGTCACACGTTCTGTTATTGCCTGAGGGGTCAGTGGCTGTGTACCGCACGATGGTCTCCCCCTGAGGGAAGATGTCTCCTTGTGTATGACTTCTGGTGATGACCAGCACGGCCCCTAGAAAGCAAAGAAGGCATCTGAGTTTCGGGTTCTTGGTCTGCAGTCACTTTATTAGCCTCTTATTTGATTGACATTTCATTTTCTATTTATGCAAATAAGCTGGGCTTTTTATTTATGTTGATTTGCTCCTTAGTAGAAAGTAAAAGTTTTAATTCTTACACTATAACATAGATAGTGGACTCAAAAAAAACCCATTAAATTAAAGTATTCTTGCTAAATAAATGATTTTCTTTGAATAGGTCAGTCTATTGGAACTTTGGGTGTTTAATTAAGAAATATATTTAATTTGCATTTCTAGTGTTTCCCGAGTTTTAGTGAAACTTTTAAAGTAAACTTCAGTTGTATTTGCTCGGTTTTTTTCTACTTTCCTATGACTTTTTATAATTTATTTAGCAAGTGTTTGAGAACTGCCTATAAATACGTAGAAATGCACTAGTGATACCAATAGAATGCTTAGTTTATGCTTCCAGGACAAGGTAAGTTGGAAAACTCAACAAAC